AACTTAGCACTTACCCGGATGTCATGCTTGAGGTCTGGAGTCCTTAAGATGTGTGTGCAAGTATTTATTTCCTTGAAACCTTGAGACCGTCAAGAGAAGGAGGCTAAAAACAGAGGAGGAAGAAGGAACAGCAGCCAAGGGAGTTGTGGGTGAAGTTTGCTGGGCCCTTGGCAATGCCAAAAACAGGTAAGAACCAGGTGTGGATTTCTGCTCCAGAGAGCACTTTTCACAGCGGTTCATCCATTGCTTGCTTTTATGGGGATATGCGTGTTGCAAAAAGGTCTTCAATGATTGATTGTGCAAACATATAACATTTTACAGTGTACTAAGTGAAGACCTTTGTGCAGAGTGCCGTCAACACGTGCCTCATGAACAACCTTTCAGAGCCTGATCCACTTAACAATGTAAAAGATTACAAAATTCCAGGCAAATAAATATTTCTGATGCATTCTCAAAATTGGGTTTTCCATAGAAGAGCAAGGCAATACCTCCATTTATTCGACTTATTTTATTTCCTTTGATAAATTAGCATATTTCTTTAATTCCTACAAATTCTTGAGGTACCTTCATATATATTCACATGGGCACACATTTATACCTACATATACATATGCATGTGTAAATTTTGCTGCTCATTTGAATATGACATACGATAAAGCAACTGAATCTTTTTTTTTTTTTTTTTTTTGAGACGGAGTTTCGCTCTTGTTACCCAGGCTGGAGTGCAATGGCGCGATCTCGGCTCACCGCAACCTCCGCCTCCTGGGTTCAGGCAATTCTCCTGCCTCAGCCTCCTGAGTAGCTGGGATTACAGGCACGCACCACCATGCCCAGCTAATTTTTTGTATTTTTAGTAGAGACAGGGTTTCACCATGTTGACCAGGATGGTCTCGATCTCTTGACCTCGTGATCCACCCGCCTCGGCCTCCCAAAGTGCTGGGATTACAGGCTTGAGCCACCGCGCCCGGCCTCTGAATCTTATAAAATTATTTTGCTAGGCAGCTTATTAAATTCTATTCCGTTTTATTTGACCATGTTCTCTAGGGGGATCACCTACAAGTCATACATTTTAAATAATTTTCAAGGTTTACAGCTCCTATTCCTTTCTTAAACCTATTACGTGTAGTTAAAACCTCCAGAATGGGTTCAATGTTGACAGTGATTGTGGCCATCCTTGTCTTATTTAGAAATTGAATTGAGATTTCTTTGGTGTCTCACTATCAAGGTTGCTGTTAGTTTCTTGTAAATTTTCTTTATCATGCTGATGAAATTGCAAAATTGCTATGAGTTTTTCCCAGGAAAGGGTATTTAAATTATCAAGTATCTGGCCAGGCACAGTAACTCATGCTTGTAACCCCAGCATGTTGGGAGGCTGAGGCAGGCAGATCACATGAGGTCAGGAGTTCAAGACCAGTCTGGCCAACAAGGCAAAACCCTCTTTCTACTAAAATTACAAAAATTAGCCAGGCATGTTGGTGCACACCTGTAATCCCAGCTACCCGGGAGGCTGAGGCAGGAGAACCACTTGAACCTGGGCAGTGGAGGTTGCAGTGAGCCAAGATTGTGCCACTGCACTCCAGCCTGGGCAACAGAGCAAGACTCTGTCTCAAAAAAACACAAATCATCAAGTATCTTTTTGGCGTTTGCTGGTTGTGGTCATCACAACTGCCATTCGTTCCTTGAGGAAACTGAGACGTTTGTTCTGCAGTAGCTCTTAATTTCTGTGTTTAGTTCATTGCTTCCTTGTGGTCTTGTAGTGTCCTTTAACTCAGTCTTTTATTGCCTGTATTTTCTTTCTTTGCTTTCTTTCTTGTTTTTTGTTTGTTTGTTTTTGTTTTTTGAGATGGAGTCTCACTCTGTTGCCCAGGCTGGAGAGCAATGGCACGCTCTCAGCTTACTGCAACCTCCACCTCCCGGGTTCAAGCAATTCTCCTGCCTCAGCCTCCCAAGTAGCTGGGATTATGCACATGCACCACCACACCTGGCTAATTTTTGTGTTTTCAGTACAGAGCTGGTCTTGAACTCTAGACCTCAGGTGATGCGCCTGCCTCAGCCTCCCAAAGTGTAAGGATTATAGGTATGAGCCCGTGCCTGGCTATTGCCTATATTTTGTATGTGCTGCTGGTTACTTCTAGAGGCTTGGCTGCATTGAGGCTCAGCTACCAGGGGAAGAGGACTTCCTAGGTGGCACTGCTTTCTTCCTGATGCATCGCGTGGGGAGCCCCCTCATGCCTGGCTGTGCCATATTTAGCGAGACTACGATTGATCCGAGGGCTCAGGTAGTGTCAATCAGCAGCACGTTTCATTATAGAGGTTCCCCATTAACCTTCCACCTCATGGTTTTAGCATCTATTAACAATTGTCTCCATCTATTATTTTAATAGGGGTTGCAAAATGGTGACTTAAAAAAATAACTATGATTGTTTTCTCCACTTAGTAGCTGAATTTTTCTATAAAGGGAAACTCGGGTCACCTTGAACTATAATTTGTACAGGAAAGGCAAGGTAAATGCCTTATCCTTTGTGAGAACAACAAAATATATTAAGATATATTCTTTCTAGAATTTTTTTACTGAGAACATTTCCTTATCCTTTTTTACAAAGCTAAGTGTTGGGTTCTTTGTATTTATTACAAGATTTCAAGAGCCTCCAAGAAGAAGCAAAATAAACCAGAGAGAATAGACCTCTCCAGAGAAATAACAAAAGATATCCCCATTGTGCTGCCCTTGAAAGTGGCAACAGCTAAATAATAAAAATATAAAAAAACAAAATAGCAGTAGCTTTATTATGGGAGATGGGTGATAAGGAGAAGGAAGTGTGTGTGTGTGTGTGTGTGTGTGTGTGTGTGCGCGCGCGCGCTGGTGGACACTAAATTGGAGAGTGACCATGAAAAAGTCATTTGGAGAAACTCCCTCACCTATAGAACAGCTAGTTAGTGCCTTGGTGACCTTAGACAAAAAGAGGAAGGAGGTAACTGATGCCCTGCTGCAACTAGGGAAGTGACGACTCTTGCTGTTTCCTACTTGTTAAAGGGTATTTCTGCTTTTCAATTGTTCAAAAAGCCTTTTGTAAGGGTCATGAAACAATGTTGAAGAAAGGACTCTTGTTCATGTCTGGGTGGTAATCTTCATTCTGTCTCACTACGTTCCCTCCTCACGTCCGTTTGTTCTGCTGGTTGAAACATTTAGGACATCTGTTCTCTGGAGGGATAGGGCAATTTCATTTGTCCCAGGTTATTTTTGTTGTTTGTTTTATAATGTAGTATTGCTCATGTGATATTTCAACATGTCCCCTATTTGCTGAGTAAAATTTTGTAGTTCTCTGTTGGGGAGACAGTGTTGCATCCTTGGGGCCAAGATTTTGGGATGCCTGTGTTTCTTTGGACATGATACAAAGCTAAGTGTTGGGTTCTTTGTATTTATTACAAGATTTCAAGAGCCTCCAAGAAGAAACAAAATAAACCAGAGAGAACAGACCTCTACAGGGAAACAACAAAAGATATCTCCATTGTGCTGCCCTTAAAAATGGCAATAGCTAAATAATAAAAATATAAAAACAAACAATTAGCAGTAGCTTTATTATGGGATATGGGTGATAGAGGGAGAAGGATGTGTGTGTGTGTGTGTGCGCGTGCGCGCACGCGCGCGTGCGTGCCGGTGGACACTAAATCAGAGAGTGACCATGAAAAAGTAATTTGGAAAAACTCCCTAGCCTGTATCAGTCTGGATTTTGTATGTCAGGACGTAGGCAAAAGAAACTTTCAAGCCAGGTGCCTGTAGGTGTGGGCAGCAGCCGCTGTCATGAGAGATAGGATTTGCATTCACCCCATTGTGAACCTCGTGGGTAGACAGTGACTGTTTCAGCCAGTGGGTGAGGTTCACTTCAGGGCCCACTGAATAATTTTGAGGAAGAGTTTTGACTCAAAAGAAAATTTGCTTTTGGGTCTGTCCTGCAAAAATCAGTGGGTGTTTTGGGTCAAGGCTGTTTTTGTCATCTTCAAGGAGAAAATCGAAGTTGAGGCAAAAAGCAGGTGCAATAATGGCAGATTGGAAACAAGATGGAAACCTAACAGATGGAAGTCATTGCATGGCTTCGTCCTCATTCAACAGACGCTGATTGAGCACCTGGAATGGGCAAGGGCGCTGCTCAAGTATCTGATAGAGCAGGGGATGAGAATTTACCTGGGCCTGGAAGTGCCTATAAGGCTATAGTACAACATGCAGCAGTGAATAAGCATCACAATAGGATGTGGTAAGTGTTTCAGTGAGGACATATTTGTGGTTCTCAGGAAACTCACAGGAAATTCACAGGCTACCTAATTCATTTTTGCGGGCCCCAGGGAGAGTATCTTATAAGATACACTTGAGCTGAGACCCGCTGGATGGGAGAGGGATAAAAGAAATCAAGGTGAGGAACTCCACGTGCGAAGGCCCAGCCCTATCAGAGCATTGTGAGCAACAAATTACACAGTGTTAGGTGGATGAGCAATATAGGCTAGGAGTGAGCAGAGGAGTTTTAAGACACTGGAAAAATGGCAGTGATCAATCACACAGGCCTTGCAGGTCAATAAGACATTTGGATATTCTCTTGAGGACAGCGAGGCACTGAAGGGAGTGACAAGAGTCAGGCAGGTGTTTTAGAAGGCTACCTCTGGCCCACAATAAGGCTCAGTAAACACCTGTGTCATGAGAGGCGGCGCTGCATTTTCTTCTCCCTTGCTTTCAGATACGCAGTGGTCCAGCGGAAGAGACGGGTCCTGTATCTGTGATGCATAATCAAATGTGCAGGTAGGGCAGCCCTGCGAGTGCCTTCTTACCTGTCAAATGCAGTCCTTCCTAGTCTCTCTATGAATTTTACAAACTGAAGCCTCAGCCACAATCCTTCATGGTGGTTTAACCAGCAGGGACCGTCCATAACCTAATAAATCAAATGAATCAATAAATCTAACTTTGCCATGGTCTGGTGCAGCTAAAAAAAAAAACAAAAAACAAAAAACTATTGTGTTTCTAAGGGACAAAAGCTGCTAAACATGCAGTTAGTTCTCAGGAAACACCAGCTTGTGTGCTTTTTCTGTCGCAGAATGGAAGGCAAAAAAAGAGTATCTAGAAAGACCAAAACATACTTAGATATGGGCAGAGATAAGAAAGCTTCCTGACTTGAAGAGACGGCTGAATCTAACAGGCTTTGATTGGCAGAAAAAAAAAAACAACAGGGAAGGAAAAGGCAAAGAAACCAACTCTGATTTCGGCGGGGCGTGTGGTTTCCATTCAGAGCAGGAACAAAGGAGAAGTGCATCCTTTCAAATTGTAGACTCTTAGGGGAAAAGAGGGACAGAACTTTATCTGAGTTTGGAATGAGTCTGAGTAGCTGCAATGGTAAAGTTGCTTCCAAAAGCAGGTAAACGACTTCAAAAAACCCCGCTTCATGAAATATTAGTGCTTTACTTCAGTTCTATCTGAAGTTCTGGTAGAGAGAAGAGCTCAAGAGCACAGGCAGAGTCAGCTCCCCGCAGCTCCTGCCTTGCTAATTAAGACAGGGAGCAGTGGGGAGCTTGCAGTGACCAAGAAGGGGTGAGGGTAAGAGACCGCGGTAAACAGGATACGATAAAAGCCCTTAACCAAGACACAGATGGGAAGAAGCGTTAGAGGGAGCAGCACTCACATCTCAAGGTTAGTAACCTTCTCAGAAAAAAGACTGGATGTGTCTGAGCTCACACTTTTTAAATTAATCGTGTGTGAAAGGGTGGGGGCTGCCAGTAACACCATGGCAAGTTGATGCAGCAGGAAAAGGGAGCTGCCGGAAAAAGCGGGAAGAAGTTAAGTGCTCGGTGTTCTGTAAACTCTTAGTTTAATGAGGGGTGCAGTTTGCAGTAAAAGGGTGCCATTTAAGTACTTTTTCTCAGTCTGTCTCTAGAATTGTATTTATAATAGATCTGATAGTAAAGTTCTTGAGAATAAGAAAACTGAGCTAATTTTACCAGCCTCTGGTCTATCAAGCTAAATCTTCCTTCTCTCCAGCAAGACTGAACAACGGTGAACTTAAATAATAAATGTCTGTGATCCAAAGATTTGATGAACTTACATAATAAATGTCCATGATCCAGAGATTTTTTATCCTACTCAAGGGCTGGGAAACTTTTCCTGTAAAGGGCCAGATAGTTCATATTTACTGTCACAACTTAACACCTCTTGACTCGTGCGCTGTGGCACAAGAGCAGCAATAGGCGATATGTAAGCAAATGAGCATGGTTGGGTCCCTCTAAACCGTTTGTGGAAATCAGACAGTGGGCTGCATTCTGCCCTCAGGCCATAGTTTCAGAACCCTGTCTTAGAGCATCCCTGCTGAACCCCAGCTGGAGTCTCTGTTTTGACTGGAAATGGGGTTCTACTGGTCACTCAGCAGTAGCCTCACTCCTGGGGACATGTGTATGACTTGCCAAGGTTCTCAGAGTATCATGGTCTGGAGGAGACCATGTGGCCCGCATTGGAAAGATTCTTTCAGTGAGATTATTTGAGGAAAGGAGCAGAAACCCAGACTATTGTGTTCCTTTGGGAATCTTACTGGAAGCATGAGACTCTTACCAGCTGGGGCATCCCAGCAGAAAGCAGGCAGACAAACCCTCACACCCGAGAAAGAGCAGAGGGAGCAACGGACCTCACACTGTAATCTTCCCATCCCCAGTCACTTGTTCTGAATGTAGCTAGATTTTCCGTTTGCAGTCCTCTGCTCTCTAGCATGTGGCTTGTTTTCCAAGCAAGTGTGGAAAGCAATCAGAGCAGATTCTCCATCACACACATCAGGTGTTTTTGCATGAACTGGGGAAGGTGGGGGTCATTGAGTAGAAACAAGAAGGATCCTCCCAATGCTCAGAAACAGTAGAGACATCTGGGGAAGCAGGACATATGGTATGTAGCAGAAACAATGAAACTGAGGTGACAGGGGAGGTTCTGCCTGCGTGGACAGCCTGAGGGAAAGAGAACAGTTTGGCTGAAGACTGTTCCCTGACCCCTCCCTCAGGCCACCTAGGAATCTGCATTCGGAGGCAAGCTTGTGAGACGAATTCATGCTCATGTGGTTAGCTGAGACATTTTTAATAGTAGAAAAATCCAGTAATATTTTGATTAATGACTTCCTTGAGGACAAAGCTCTTTTATACAGACAGCTCTATTAGAAAAAATACCTCAAGCCAAAATCCCTTCATAAATCATGCAAAAAATGGCTGCCGACACAACAAAAATAACTCAAGCGCCGTCTCTGTCTGTCTTTGGTTAGATTTGATAAATAGGGCTCATCTCTAGCAAACTTGTAACAGCTGAACTTTGTCTTCAGCTGCACGTCTTTCTGCCCCTTTCATGCGAATCCATGACCTCGAGGTCCCTCCATTCCAGGGTGCAAGTCCACTTAAGTTCTCTGCATCTCTTGACTAGTTGACTCTGGATGCCTTGAGAATAAGGAGTTCCTACAAGTTATTACTAATTAGCATCCCTTTTCCAGTCCACCTCCCACGCACCCCATTTCTTCATCCTGGGGGAGGAAGTTCGCTTTGGGCGTGATTGTAGGAGCCACTGAGAATAGATGATGCTACGTTTCATCTCATTTCTTTTAGGAGTCGAGATGCCCACTCAGCCCTCAGCCCTTCTACCTCTCTACCTGCACCTCTGCCCCACTTTACCCAACTCTGAGCCCCCACTCAGAAAATAGATATGTTTTGGCATTTGTTTAATAAGTACATAACGATTTTTAAAAATATCTTAAATCGTGTATCTGACAACTTAGATAATCATAATCTTTTGCATTTATTTCCAGCTATTATCACAAAATCGTAACACAGAGTGTGTCCGTGGACTCTAAGACTGCACTATGATAATGTACTATATTCTTAGAATGTACTTAGCATCTTTGGACCGGGGTGGTTGGAGGAACAACTGAAATCATTAAATACATGGCCAACAGCAAGATGGGGTGGCCTCATTCGTTGGTAAGACCTGGGGTGAATGTGAACTCTTGCTATTCACTAGCAGTACTTTTTAAAAATCGAGGTGAAATTCATATAATATTGTTCATCTAAGATTTATTCAACATAAGATTAAACTTTTTTTTTTTTTTTGAGATGGAGTCTTGCTCTGTTGCCCAGGCTGGAGTACAGTGGCACGTCTTGGCTCACTGCAACCTGTGCCTCCCGGGTTCAAGCGATTCTACTGTCTCAGCCTCCCAAGTAGCTGGGATTACAGTAGTACACCACCATGCACAGCTAATTTTTGTATTTTTAGTAGAGACAGGGTTTCGCCATGTTGGCCAGGCTGGTCTCGAACTCCTGACCTCAAGTGATCTGCCTGCCTTGGCCTTCCAAAGTGCTGGAATTACAGATGTGAGCCACCACACCCAGCAAAGATTAAACATTTTAAAGTGTACAATTATGTGGCATTTAGTACATCTGCAATGTCCTGTGACCACCACTTTTATCAGATTCCAAAACATTTTCATCACCCTCAAAGAAAACCCCATACCTTAAGCAGTCACTCCCTATTCCCTCCTTCTGATAGTCCCCGGCAACCACCAATCTGCTTTCCATTTCCATGGATTTGACTGTCTGGATATTTCCTATAAATGAATTCCTACAAAATGTGACCTTTTGTGGCTGCATTCTTTCACTTAGCATACTGTTGTCAAGGTTTACTCATGTTGTACCACGCATCAGTCCTTCATTCCTTTTTGTGGCTGAATAATATCCTGTTGTATGGATTTGATCACAATTTGTTCATTCATTCACCTGTTGGCAGACATTTGGGTTGTTACCACCTTCTGGCTTTTGTGAATAATGCTGCTATGAACATCGGTCTACAAGTATTGGTTTGGGTACCAGTTTTCAGTTCTTTTTAGTACATATGTAAGAGTAAAACTTCTGGGTCATATACTAATCCTGTTTAACTTTTTGAAGAATCTCTAACTGTTTTTCACAGCAGCTACATCATTTTACATTTCTTTACAGCCCTGGTGTGGCAGTGCACAAGGGTGCCAATTTCTCAGCATCCTTCCTAACATACTGATCTTCCTCTTTTTGATTACAGCTATCTTAGTAGATATTAAGTGATTTCTCATTGTGGTTTTTTTTTGTGTTTCCTTATTGACTGATAATATTGAGCATCTTTTGGAGAAAAATGTCTATTCAAGTATATTGCCCATTTGAAAATTGGGTTGTTTCTTTTATGTCGTCGAAATGCGAGAGTTCCTCATGTATTACGGATATTAGACCATAATCAGATAGATTATTTGCAAATATTTTCTTGCATTCTGTAAGGTGAGCTTTCACTTTCTTGAAAATGGCCTCTGATGCACAAAAGTTTTTAATTCTGATGAATCCAATTTATTTTTTTCTTTTGTTGCCCATATGTTTGGTGTCATATCAAAGAATCCATTGCCAACCTCCAGGTCATGAAAATTTCACCCTGTGCTTTATTCTAAGAATTCTACCGTCAAAGGTCTTATATTTAGGTCAACCCATTTTGAGTTAGTTTTTGTATTTCATGGGAGGTAAGGATCCAACTTCATGCTCTTGCATGTGGCTATCCAGTTCTCCCAGAACCATTTATTGAAGAAACTATTATTTACCCAATCAGTGGGGTTGGCACCTTGTTGAACATCAATTGTTCATAGATGTATGGGCTTATTATTTTTATTTGTATAAATTCAAGGGGTACAAGGGCAGTTTTGTGACATGAATATATTATGTAGTAGTGAAGTCTGGACTTTCAATATCTCCATCACCTGAGTATGAATATGTTGTACACATTAAGTAATTTCTATTGCTCACCCCTTCCTACTCTCCTGTTCTTCCACATCTCCAGTGTCCATTATTGCACACTATGTGTCCATGTGTACACATTATTTTGTTCCCAATTATAAGTGAGAATGTCGCATGTGAATTTCTGTGTCTGAGTTGTTTCACTTAATATAATGGCTTCCAGGTCTATCCATGCTGCTGCAAAAGACAGGATTTCATTCTTTTTATGGCTGTGTAGGGTTCCATCGTGTATATATACCACAGTTTCTTTACTCTTTCATTGATGGACAGTGTGGTTGATTCCATATCTTGGTTATTGTGAATAGTGCTGCAATAAACATATAAGGGCAGCTATCCTTTTGATATAATGATTTCTTTTCCTTTGGGTAGATACCCTGTAGTGGGATTGCTGGATCTAATGGTAATTCTATTTTTAGTTCTTTGAGGAATCCTCATACTATTTTACATAGATGTTGTACTAATTTAAATTCCCACGAACAGTGTATAAATGTTCTCTTTTCTCCACATCCTGCCTAACATCTATTTTGATCATCACTCCAATTTCCTTGGTCTATTTGTCTATGTATATGCCAGTACCCATACTTTTTTGATTACTGTAGCTTTGTACTAAGTTTTGAAATTGGGAAATGTTAGTCTTTCAGCCTTTTCTTCTTTTTCAATACCATTTTGGCTATTCAGAGCCCCTTGTCATTCTATATAAATTTGAAGATCAATTTTTTCCATTTCTAAAAAAAGTGGCCATTCAAATTTTGATGATTACACTGACTCTAGATTTCATTGAGTAGTAATGCCATTGTAACAATATTAAATTATCCAATTCATGAACATGGGTTGTCTTTTAAACACATTTCCTAAATATGTCTTTTC